TAGGTCCACTCAGCGAAAAACTGAGTCTTCGCGCAGGTATCGCCGCGCAACTTTTGTTTTGAGTTGGATCCAATGAAATGTAAGACGATAGGAACGTACACCCACGGTCATCGATTCTGTCCCTCAGAAATTTTCACAAACTCTGAAGTGATTACTTTCTACATTAATGCTCATAATCCATGCACGATTAAACGAAATCGTGCATGGACTATAAGCATTAATGTAGAAAAGTGATTACTTCAGAGTTTGTAAAAATTTCCGAGGGACAGAATCGATGATCGTGGGTGTACATATGTGCAGACAATTTATAAGCAAATACATCAGAAATTTTCTTTAGTGATCACTCCTACGAATAATTGTTACTAATGAAACGTTTTATTTGATTCACACATTGAATTTATTGATTTACTGTATCGAATCCATATTATTACTTATCTGTTTTATTACTTGTGAGGCACTTTTCTCAATTCGATCCTGAATTTAACATGGTGGATGCTCACGTGATCTGGAAAAGAAGATCAAAGGCGCCGACACGAAGTGGACTTACTGGTTATACTGTGTATATGGTGTATCACACGGACACGAGCTTATATCATTGCGCTTGCGCAAGCTAACAGCCAATCAAATTTGGACACAAATTACCTCGTCGCACCGTCCCGCGCGCAGTGGCTTCCCCCCCGCAGCTTTGTACTCTCGCCATTCTAACCAGTTTATGCACCGTCCATATATTCCTACATCAATGCGATGCTGTTTAAACACTTTAAAGAATTCGCATGACAGAATTTTGAGTAAATTAGAATAAAAATGGCGTTTTTGGCCACTTTTAACATTTTCTTGCAGCAAAATGGAAACTTCGGAGAGAGAAAAAAGTATTTTTTGTAACACAGTGTATAAAAAATCTAAAAATATAAAATTTTAACAATTATAACTTAAAGGAAACAAGATACGATTATGAACCAAAGTTCGTTTGAAAGTTTTTGAATGGTATTTTCAAATGTCGTTGGATACATTTAGAAATCGTTTTGCCACAAGAAAATGTTAAAAGTGACCAAAAATGCCATTTTTGGCTCACTAATTAATTCCTTGGAAAAAAAACGATTTTATAAAAACATAATTATAATTTGATAGTTTATATATAAATTTTATTATAAGTCATTTTTGTCACTCAAAAAATTTTGAATTTATTATTAATTAAGACGTTCAAAAAAATGAATATTTAAAATATCCGATGATGTTCCGGAAACGCCCGAAGTTATAGCGTTTTCGATTTGTTATATATGTTGTAATATACATATTACATGTTAAACTTTTGCATTGCGGAACTCAGAGGCACTATAAAGTTTATTATATTATTTTTCACATATTCACAAACCGCATAAACATATCCACTTTTGGCAAATTATTTGAATTACCTTTCATAAAATCCGAATCAACCATTTTTTATTTTACATCTTGATCAATAAAAACTTGATTAATAAAAACAATATTATTTAATGCCAGCACTTCTCTTACAGAGCTATATATCGACTCAGAGCTATTGTCGGGTGACGTCATAATTAGTCTCGCGATCAATAAAAAGGCGTTTTGTTTATCGGCCGTTTTACTGTTCAAATATGACGCTTTTTAAAACGTTGTTTATAAAAATTTAGACAAACATAACTTATATTTATAACAGTTTTATATTATTTACTTTATGCTTAATTAATATTATATCTATTTTTTAAACCTGCAGTTATTTTAGTTATTTATTTTGTACCCAATACTCGAAATGCTGATGTGCTAGGCGAATTCTTCAAATGGCATCGTGTTCAGCGTGAAAAAATCTTCGGAAAACGCACTTTGGAGAGAATTTTGCTGTCGCACAGCGTAATATTGATCAATTTATTTTTTTGCGCACATGCATTGTGCAAAAATTGTCTGTATGTACACCCACGGTCATCGATTCTGTCCCTCGGAAATTTTCACAAACTCTGAAGTGATCACTTTTCTACATTAATGCTCATAATCCATGCACGATTAACGAAACGAAATCGTGCATGGACAGATCGGAAGAGCA